TTTTTTTTGGTGGAACCAAAGATTGAACTCAAACACTTGTGCTTGCCAGGGAAGCGCTTATTCCACTGAGCCATCTCCCTGGCCCACTATATATTTTTTAAAAGTTAGCTCTTTTTGGGGCTGGGGAAATAGCTCAGTAGAATAAGTGCTTGCCTGGCAAGCTTAAGGTCCTGAGTTTGAACCCTGGTTCTACAAAAAAAAAAAAAAAAAAAAAAAAAAAAAATTAGCTACTGTCATCCAGCATTCCTTAGGGCCCTTCCCTTTCTGTCTGAGCTGCTGGTCCTCTTTGGCCTAGCCAGGGGTTCCTCCTTTATACTCCCTTCCACATACCTCTATGTCACAGTGCCTTTCATTAGGCCTTGAAACATTACCTTAATTCTTCCCAGCGTTAAAACTTAGAGTTTATTTATTCATTTGTTTAGAGATGGAGTCTCTTTAAGTAGTACAGACTGGCTTTGAACTGGCTCATGTGGACAGGCTGGCTTCGAATTCCTGGTGATCCTCTTGCTTCAGCCTCCTGGGTGCTGGGATTACAGGTGTGCACCAATGTGCTTGCCTTGGAGATTATTATTATTTTTAAAATTTCCTGGATTCCTCTGCACTGGTCTGACATACTGTAGGCTAATGAATAAGTGTTCATCAAATGAATAGAAGATTACTTCAGGATTTACAGTTTACTCGGTAAAATTTAAGTTTACCTTTTACACATAAAGTATCAAAGATTTTGCACCCACAGTATCATTAACAAAGACTAAATGAAAGAAATGTGAAATAATCTTTCACTTTGATCTAACGTCCCAGCTATAGTCTAAAAAATAATCCCCAATACAAATATCATTTCCAATTCTGTATCACAGAAAATTTGACTTTTGTCACTCAAGGATTTAAAATCATTAAGACCGGGGCTGGAGAGATGGCTCAGTGGTCTAAAGCACCTACTTGAAACAAGCTTGGCAAAGCACAGGGACCTCGGTTCCATCCCCGGCAACCACATGCCAGCCAGCCCCGCCCCCTGGTGGGCTGAGCTGGCCACACACACAAACACACAATAAATAAATGTAATAAATAAAAATAAATAAATATTTAAAAAAAATAAAAATAAAAATAAAATCATTAAGACCAGGCTGGCGAGATAGCTCACAGGACTAAATGGCTGCTTAGGCAAGCACACGGACCAGGGTTCCATTCCAGTACCACAGGGCCACCGAGACCAGGAGTGGTGGCGCTCACCTGTAATCCCAGCACTGTGGAGGCTGAAAACAGGAGGATCACTATGAGTCCAAACTTTGTACTAAGACCCTGTACAAAATATGTAAAAAAAAAAAAAAATTAATAAGATAAAATCATTAAGACCAACCCTCCCTCATATATCACAAAACTCTGACCCAGCCAAGGATAGATTTAAAAATCCACATTTACAGACACAGGAGTTAATTTTGTAGCTAAGGAAAACCTTGATTTCAAGTTGCCCAGACCATATTTGGCTAATACTTTAGCACAGATTTAACTGGATGGGTCCTTTGCAAATTAGACACAGAAAAAAGACCTGATCCTAACACATATTAATCCCCTGAGATTATAAACTTGTTCTTGAATAAATCCATACTTTACACAGTGCTACAGACCTCCCAAGTCATCAGTGCATGCTCTGTCCTCATGCCAAAATAGTACTAGTGAAGCAGAGGCAGAATTGGTCCAAAGGTCAAAGTGCAGCTGAGGTTGGTTCTCCAGGCACCTACTCTACAGGCACATTTTCTTCATTACTCAATCAGTTCCTATCAGTGGAAAAGTGCAGAGAAGGAAGAGCTCATTACTGATAATTAAAGTTAATTAAAAGAAATAGGAAATAAAGGAAGCAAATAGCTTCTGGGTACTATTTAGAAACTTCCTAGCATATGGTTTTTTTCTCTTGAACAAATCAGAAAGTTTCAAAAAAAAATAATATGCCAATAAAAAAGGCTATTAGCCTGTTACATTACTCTGAACTAAGTTTGCACTAGGTGTTAAGGTGCTGTGGAGATAGCTCAGTGGCTTAAGTGCCTGCCTGGCAAGGGCAAGGCCCTGGGTTTAATACCCCAAAAAACACAAACAAAATAACTCCCCAATATAGTCGACCTACAGTTCTGCCTCTAGGGCAACACCAAACAGGAGGTGGCATGTTTAAGCCCCCAAATTACACTTGATCTTAGTCAAAAGGCCAAGAAGTGATCCCCAACCTACAGGGAATGGCTACAGAAGGGAAAAAAACAGAAACAAGGTCATTCCATCTGGTGTGAAATCAAATAAACCTCTCCAACCCTAACCACTGCCAAGGAGAACCACACAACACAGGCGTGTGGCTTTAACATTCATCTTCTCATGGTTACTCTTTTTGTGTGTGGTTTTTTTTTTTTTTTTTTTTTTTTTTTTTTTCTTTTGTTTTTTGGTAAGGGTCTACAAGGTGTTCAGGGTCTCACTACTAGATCAGACTCAAAGTGATCCGCCTGTTTACAGCCTCCCAAGAACTGGGATTACAGGCCAGCGCCACCCAGTCTCAACTGTGTCTCAGCGCACCCCGCCGGCATCACAGGTCTGGAGATCAAACTCCTGGCCCATGGCAGGCCCCGGAATCAAACCCCCGGCCCCTGCGCCTGCTTGCAAGCGCTTTAACCGCCGAGCTATTTGGCTGGCCCTCATGGTTACTCTTGATGGTTCATTTTAATGCAAAAATAAAAATAGATTATGTGATACAGCCAGAGCTGCCTCAAGAGACAATTCCCAGTGCTGTGTCATAGTGCTTCTGCATAAAATATGTCTCCTAGGGATGAGGTCCTTTCTCCTGAGATATTTCAACTCAAAGGAACAACCCTGGCTGTCTTGGATATGCTTTCTAGCTGTGCTACTCCTGTGTTTTGGGTTACCTTTTGCAAGCAGGTCCTAATTTATTAGTCTTAGTTTTCACATCTCCAAAATAAGACTAATTGCTTTGCAGGTCTCTGATAAGGAGAAATAAACTAAGTTGGTTTAGCACAACAGAGGCACACTATATTAGCTATTTACATAATGAGTTCCTACTAAATATAGATGCTTTCAGAGCCTGTGGAGACACAAGGTAAGTTCTCTTAGTTTCAAATGACAAAATTCCTGCGTGTTCTGAATTTTCAAAATTCTGGTACATCATCTCTTTTCTGCTGTGAGGAAGACAAGGGCAAGCAAATGGAACGACCTAAAGTTTGGAAGCAAAGGTTTATAAAACGTTTTCGTGTGCTCTGCCTTATTTTAACGTCTGAACTTTAAGGATAAGAAAACAAGTCCTATGAAGTTACCAAATAAAGGTAGAGAGATAAAACCTGGAACCCAGGAATCCTAACCGCAGCAGGGTGACCCTTCGCCGACCCAAGCGTCATTAAGGCGGTGAGCAGCAGTTTCGGAGTGGGGCTTCCGCGGCCCCCGACCCGGCTCACCACCAGCGTCCGTGACTAGGATGTTTTTGGCCTGGGGCCGTGCTACGCACCAAGTAGCTCTGGAATAAACACATTTGCACCCTTGCTGGAGGCAGCACTCGGCTTCCCACCCAGAACTCCACTGCGCCCACCTCGCCGCGCCCAGGAGCGACCCCGGCCCCAGGGGCCGCGCCGCGGCCAGGCTCCCAACGCACGGCCCACCGCATTGCTCTCATTGGGCCTCCTCACGCTTTCCCGTCCCCAAGTCCTTGTTTCCCCTACGATTGGACCAGGAAACTGTCCATCCTGGTCCTCCCGGGCCCGCCCCCTCTCAGCCCCCCAGACCCCAGCCCAGTTCTGCAGAATCTCGGATGCTGCGGGCCGGGTCCGTACCACGGGCGAATGGGTGCTGGGGAACCGAGAGGGGCCGGCCCCTCCTCCTGCTCCAGCCCCACCCCCAGCCTCGTCTCCGCCCCGCCTCGGCGTTCCCTCGCTCCCCTCGCGCGCACCTGTCTCCCCCGCGACTCCTCCGCCCCTCTCTCCCTCCCTCCCAGCCGGCGCTCAGACGTCCAGGGCGCTCCCGGGCTTGCGCTTCATGAGGGCTCTGCAGCGTGCGCTGAGCCGGGCCGGCAGTCACTGCCGGCGGGCAGGCTGGGGTCCCCCGAGCCGGAGCCCCCTCCTTGGCGGGAGCGTCCGGCAGCACCTCATTGAGGCCGCGGCGCAGGGCAGGGAGAAGCCGCACTGCCAACCGCAGCTCCAGGATCAGTAAGGCTCACGGGACAGGGGCTCCCATTCCCACTGTCGTTCTCTTTAGCTCCCGAGTCCCCCTCCCCAGGAGCGCAACTCGTCTCCCCTCTCCTGGCTCACTAGTCCGCCATGCCTTTTCCTTTAGATTTGGGGCTTTGGGTCCGCCGCGCTCAGGCGGTAAGGTGCCGCCCGCCCGCTAGGGCGTTTGGGCAGGTCGGTCTCCGAGATGGTGCCTGTCCAAGGTGCGTACTTAACTGGGAACGCAGATGGGCGCCGAGTGTTTCTTGGGGCACGTGTCTGAATGCAGACTTCCGAACATCCTTACCTTTCCTCCCCCGGGTCCTCGGGTGCGTTTTAGAGGATATGTGGGTGTGCAGCACCCTCCGCCTGCTCTGGTCCCAGCGTACTTGGCTCGATTCTGTGTCTGATTCTGCGTGTCCTCAGCGGGTAATGTGTGATGATGTGCGTGTCCCTGGTGCGCAGATACGTGCTTATGTGTTGAGTTCGTGTACCCAGCAGGGTTCCCTAATCTGTAGAATAAGGATGGTTTTCTAATACGGTCTTTGAATGAAAATATTTATAACGGGGGTATTTATAATATGCAATTTGCCATCCACAGCCATCAGAGCTGTTATTATGTATGCTGCTCAGGCATCCTCACTCAAATGGTTCTCTTCTTTGGGCACTTCTTACACCCACGAAGCCAAACTTATTTCTCTCCCACAGCCCAGGAGTACTTAGTTGCCGAGTCCCCCACTCTTCCCTGACAAGATTATTCTTAGCGAGAAACCTGTCCTTGCCAGAGAGCCTGCTAGACACTGTGCAAGTAGCCCCTTCCCTATTGTAGCAGTAACAGGAAATGGGCCACCTCTTTGTCATTGATGTCTACTTGGTGACACTCAGACACATGCCCACCATAAATAAGGGCCCAAACTAACCTAGCACTACCTCACCACCACAGAAGTTCCTGTCCTGAGAGATAGCAGACCAATAAATATTCACAATTATGCTGTACTTTGGCAAGACATGGACCATTTAAAGAATAAGCACTCGCCTTTCTCTTCTAATCTCCACACCACTTCCTCCCAAATATTTACCTTCAAAGAATGAGAAGGTGATAGAGCAAAGGCTTACCTTCCCTCACCTTTTCACCTTCTTTGCAGTGAGGAACTTGAGGTTATCCTTGATTCCCCCATACCTCCATTCATTGGTCAGTTGGTGGAATGTTTGGTTTTTTTTTTTTTCCCCATAATTTCATTGAGAAACAAATAGCAATGAGATAGTTTCAAATCAAATTGGTAGGACAGTTCCAATAATTAACACATTGCATACTCTCTTCCTAGGGTGGAATGTTTTAGGAGAGACCTAGCTTCTTCTGTCTGTTGCCGCTTATGTTCCAGAGGACTTCTTTAGAAGACTTTGGAGCACTAGGGCATTGCTCCCTGACAGAGGGGTTGACAGCACTGGTGGTTCTGGGTTATGGATGTATGGTACCATGAGGGAGGGCTTTCTGTGTTTGTGGGCGGGGGAGGGCTGCACAAATTACTTGTAATATGTGTTTTTTAAAAATATTTAACTTTATTTGTATTTCTGATTTTTGTTCTTGTTTTGTTTTCAGACAGAGTCTGGCTATGTAGCCCAGGCTGGCCTCAAACTCGCAGCAATCCTCTTGCCTCAGCCTCCCGAGTGCACCATGCTCAGCTTCTTCTTGTTGTTACTACATATCTTGTTTTTCTTTTAAAAATCAGAACTACAGCTGGACGTGGTGGCACATGGCTGTAATCCTAGCTCTCAAGGGGCTGAGGCAGAAGGAGTGCCACAAGTTTAAGGCCAGCCTGGGCTACATAGTGAGTTCAAGACCAGCCTGAATTACAGAGTGAGACCCTATTTCAAAAAAAAAAAAAAACTAACTAAAAAGCCCAGTATCAAGAAGAAATTAGGGGGCTGAGAATATAGTTCAGTGGTAAGAGGTTTGCTTAACTTACTTTACACAAGGCCCTGGAAAGATACCAATATTGGAAATAACCAATTAAGATTGTGACATATCTCTCTACATAGATCCTATATGTATGTATACACACATCATTCAACAAAACGGGAGTATAATATATATAATATTCAGTGAACTATATTTTTCCATTTATGAACAGCTCTTTTGAGATAAGGTCCCACTAAATTGCCCAGGCTGGGCTCCAGTTTGCAGTTCTGCCAGGCATAGTGGTGTGCATCTGTAATCCCAGCACTCAAGAGGCTAAAGCAGGAGGATGGATGTGAGCCCACGGCCAGCCTGGCCTATACAGTGAAACCTTGTCTCAAAAAAACCCAGAACTTGCAGTCCTTCTCTCTCAGCCTCCAGGAGTGAGGTATGCACCACCATACCCAGCTTGTGAACAGTTTTAATACCACTGAATGTGTATTTTTGACACTTTCACTTTCCTTTTCTTCAGAACTAGGGACTGAACCTAAAACTTTGTGCCTAGTATGCAAGCATTCTACCACTGAGCTACATCTTTTTTTTTTTTAAGACAGGGTCTTTAACTTGCCCTCCAACTTGTACTACTCCTGCCTCAGCAACCACTCATTTGATAGATACTCAAAATTATTTCTTAAGAGTAAATTTCTAAGGGACCAAGGAGATGGCTCAGTGGAATATGTGCTTCCCTGGCAAGCGCAAGGGCCTGAGTTCAATCCCCGGTTCCACAAAAAAAAAAAGAGTAAATTTCTAGGGGGACCACCCGCTCAGCCCCCTTTCTGTCCTTCTCTTGGACAGAAGCTTTCTTTCCCCCAATAAATATATTCTGCTCATAACTAACAAATAAATAAAAAAGTAAATTTCTAGGAAAGTTTGCTCCCCAAAGATATTTAAAGTCATTCATAACTTGCATAGCTTTCTGAAGTTACATTATGCATGAAAACTGTTATTACTTTACCATTTTTTAAATTTTTTTTTTTTTTTTTTTTTTTTTTTGGCAGTACCAGGGATTGAACTCAGGACCCTGTGCTTGCCAGGCAAGCACTTATTCTACTGAGCTATCTCCCCAGCCCACTTTACCTTTTTTTTTTTTTAATACAAATGGGATATACCACACATAGTGCTCTGCACCTTGCTTTTCCCTTCACATTTTATTCACGGTCAATCCATCTCTCAGGCAAAGGGTCTGCAATTGTTTAAAGGCTTCTGAGTCATCTTAAGGTGGTATTGTTCCCTGTCTTCCATCAGTTTCCATGTACAGACACTTACCTTCAAAGTGTTGCTACAGATTTCCTCTTTTTTTTTTTAATTTTATTTATTTATTTTGTGTGTGTGTGTGTGTGTGTGTGTGGCCAGCTCAGCCCACCAGGGGGCGGGGCTGGCTGGCATGTGGTGCTGGGGATTGAACCGCGGTCCCTGTGCTTTGCTTAGCTAGTTCTAAGTAGGTGCTTTAGACCACTGAGCCATCTCACCAGCTCCAGATTTCCTCTTGTGTTACCCCTTGGGTAGCCTTTTCCCTCTGCTACTCCTTATGGGTACTAGCATTATTATGACAACTGGATTACTCCAGAAATAGGATTCTCTCTCACAGTATTTCTCATGAGCGCCTACACACGTGCCTAGTCTATGCCAAGCCTCTTCAGTCTTTTTATTTTTTAGAATGTGTTCTTCTTTTTTTTATTTTTAAGACAGGATCTTGCTAATGCAGTTGAGGCTGGCCTTGAACCCACTTTGTAGCCCAAGCTGGTCTTGTACCTGCAATGATACTCGTACCTCAGCCTCCTGAGTTCTGGGATTATAAGCATGTGCTACCATGCCTGGCTATTAGAGTATTGTTTCAGTAGATTAAATACAGTCATATGGTTCAAATTCAAAATGTAGAAAAGATATATATTGAAAAACTTCCTATCTCTTTTTCCATGCACCTAGCATCTCAGATGAATCAGTTTTACCCATTCCTTATACATCCTTCCAGAAATATTTTGTGTCAAATAAGCAGCACATATATATTTTTTTCTCTTGTAAATATATAAATAGTTCTATACTGCATATGCTGGTTTTGGGTTTTTTTTTTAAAGTTTTCTTTATTTGTGTGTGTGTGTGTGTGTGTGTGTGTGTGGCCAGCTCAACCCACCAGGGGGCGGGGCGGGCTGGCATGTGGTGCTGGGGGATTGAACCACGGTCCCTGTGCTTTGCTAAGCTTGTTCTAAGTAGGTGCTTCAGACCACTGAGCCATCTCACCAGCCCATTTATTGTTTTGAGATAGGATATTGCTATTAGTTCAGACTGGCTTGAACTCAGTATGTAGCCCAGGCTGGCCTTGAGCTTGAAGCAATCCTGCCTCTGCTTCTCGAATGCTAGGATTACAGGCATGTCCCACCATGTCCAGCCAGTATAATTAATTATTAGTATTGCATCTTAGAGCACAATACTTAAATCAGTCTCTGTCTCTGTCTCTGTCTCTCTTTTGTCGGTCTTTTTGAGACAGGGTCTCATTATGCATTTGAGTCTAGACTTGAGCTCATTTTGTAGCCCAGACTGGCCTTGAACTTCCAATGATCCTTGTGCCTCAGCCTCCTAAGTGCTGGGATTATAGGCATGTGTCACTATGCTGGGCTCAAATTTCTTTTGCATTGCATAACATTCCATTATGTGAATATACTGTATCACCTAGTAATGCACATTTAGGTCATTTCTAATCTTTTTCTTTCTCTCTGTACCAAGACTTGAGCTCAGAACTTAGTGATTGCCAGGCAGGTACTGTGCCAACGAGCTATAGCCCCAGCCCCCAATCTTACTATTTCTAACAGTGCAATGGACAACTGAATATATTACTAGATGTGTAAGTATACCTGCAAGATAAATTCCTGAAAGTCAAAGTGTTGGATCAAAGAGTTTTTAAGAGTCTTGATCTCAACTAGTTGTCATATCTAGAAATGATCTGATAAAATAATTCTTCTAACTCTGTTAATATTAATAGAATTCTATAAAACCAAGAAGTATTTTGGTGTTTTAGGTTTTAGATATAAGAAGCCAGTGAGAAGGATATTTTAGAACACAGGGACCTCCCTAGCAATGACATTTGATGACCTACTTGGTCCTAGGGAATGCTGGAAGGACAGTGTATAAAACACAAAGACCTAAAAGTAGAGCCAAAGAGAATCTTCTCACACTAAGATGACATGGGTCATATCAGCAGCATAAGCAAAATCTGAAGGTTTGGGGAAGCTGTCACACAGTTGGTGACACTGGATCTGGAGGTGAAAGAGAAGAAAGTCATTCCATACCAAAGTTATAGCATAAGCAAAGTCCAGGAAGCCTCCTAGTGTATAGCCCAATTTTAGAGCCATCTGTTACTTCAGTTGTAACTGAAGTATGGGAGAATGCTGGGGAACAGGAAGAGAAAGTAGCCTTGAACACTACACCAAGAAATAAGACAGGCTGGAGAGATGGCTCAGTAGAATAAGCGCTTCCCTGGCAAGTGCACGGGCCTGAGTTCAACCCCAGCTCCACTAAAATCAATCAATCAATCAATCAATCAGAGCAAGAAGTGTTGCATGTAAAAAAATAATAATAATAAAATAAATAAAAGCTTATTCTGTAGGTCTTATGGAGCTATCAGGGCCTCATCCATCCTAGGCAAATGTTCTACCATTAAGCCATATTCCCAGGCCTTTTTAAATTATTTTGAGACAAGTTCTAAATTGCCCAGGCTGGCCTTGAATTTGTGATCCTGCCACCTCAGCCTCTCATATAACTGGGTTTAGGTGTGTACTACCATGCCTGTTACCACAAAGTTTTAATCTAAAGAAAACTGAATTTTAGATAACTGGCACATTGTAAAGATGCATCGGAAGTTCAGAGAGTACAGTGTCAACTAGGTACTAATGATAAATCAGCAGGATTTACTAAGCATGTCCTTTGTTTTTCATGGAATATGATGTTAAGCATCATATCACCTGTGAGAAGTAGTCATTGATATCTTTTTTGTGTGTGTATTTTAGGAAAGGGTCTACAGGGTGTTCAGGGTCTCACTACTAGATTGGACTCCTAGTGATCAGTCTGTTTGCAGCCTCCCAAGAGCTGGGATTATAGGTGTGTGCCACCACACCCAGTCTCAATTGCCGTCTCCGCTCTGGGGGCAGGGCTGGCATGGCAGGCCCAGAGATCCCCCACCCCTGCGCCTGCTTTAATCCACAGAGCTATTTGGCTGGCCCTAAAGTTATTTTTTCTTTTTTTTTTTTTTTTTTTTTGAGGAACCAGGGATTGAACTCAGGCCCTTGCACTTGCCAGGCAAGCGCTTATTCTGAGTTATCTCTCTGACCCCATTACCCATTTTTTAAAATGTATTTTGTACAGGGTCTCACTACACAGATTGGATTTGTAGTGATCCTCCTGTTTTTAGCATCCCAAGCACTGGGATTGCAGGTGTGTGCCACCATACAGTCTTTTTTTTTTTTTTTTTTTAATTTATTTATTTATTTATTTATTTGTGTGTGTGTGTGTGTGTGTGTGGCCAGCTCAGCCCACCAGGGGGCGGGGCTGGCTGGCATGTGGTGCTGGGGGATTGAACTGTGGTCCCTGTGCTTTGCTAAGTTTGTTCTAAGTAGGTGCTTTAGACCACTGAGCCATCTCACCAGCCCACCATACAGTCTTAATATCCTTTTTTTTTTTTGGTATTTAGGGCAGAGTCTACAGGGTCTCACTGTGTAGATCGGTAGTGATCCTCCTGTTTACAGCCTCCTAAGTGCTGGGATTACAGGCGCATGCTACCACACCTCAGTGTACCCAGGGGCAGGGCCAGCATGGCAGGCCTGTGATCAAACTCCCGGCCTCTGTGTCTGCCTAAGCAGATGCTTTAATCTGCTGAGCTATTTGGCTGGCCCCTTTAATATCCATTTTTTACAGAAGTGGATTCAACAATATTAAATGACTGCCCCAAGATAGCTATTAAGGAGCAAACTGAGGTTCTATTTTACCATATTTATTACACAGGGAGAAAGGAGAAAAGAGGATAAATCTTTTTTTTTTTGAACCAGAGATTGAACTCAGGCCCTTGTGCTTGCCAGGCAAGCGCTTATTCAGCCACCTCCCCAGCCCCAATAAATCTTAAGTATTGCTGTGCACATGCCTATAATCCCAGCCTGGGCAACTTTTCAAGACCCTGTCTGAAAGAAAAGAAAAGAAAGAGAGAGAGAAAGAAAGAAAGGAGAAAGGAAGGAAGGAAGGAAGGAAGGAAGGAAGGAAGGAAGGAGAAAGAAAGAAAGAAAGAAAGAAAGAAAGAAAGAAAGAAAGAAAGAAAGAAGCACTAGGGATATCATTAGTGAGAAGGGCCTGGGTTCCATCCTGGGAACTAAATAATTGCAAGGGTAGATTAAATGCTTCAGGGAGGAAGCATAGAAAAAAAGACATTCAACTAATTATAAGCCCTTGTTCAAGGTGGAGAGCAAGAAGCAGTTCTCAGGCTCCTGCCCTTCTCCCCTATCTCTGTCCCTAAACAGTGATGCATCGCAAAGTGGCATGCTGTCCCGCCTCGGTGACTTGCTTTTCTACACTATTGCTGAGGGCCAGGAACGAATTCCTATCCACAAGTTCACTACAGTAAGTTCTCTTCCTGTTCTGAGTTCTCATCCACTAGGACTGCAACAAAGGGGGAAGTAGAAGAGAAGTTGGACAAGTTCAGGGCTGCTAATGTGTGGCTACAGGAGGATAAAGAATACAGATTAGGGCCGGGGAGATGGCTCAGTGGAATAAGCGCTTCCCTGGCAAGCGCAAGGGCCTGAGTTCAATCCCCGGTTCCGCAAAAAAGATTAAAAAAAAAAAGAAGAATACAGATTAGTAACAGATGCCTCAGGGCCAGGAGATGAGACTCTTATGAAAAAGGAGGAAACCCTTGTCACCCCTCAAAGCTGCTGCATTCTCTTTCTCCCTAATCTCCAAACCCATTCATTCCATCTAAGATAGTCATTGGAGTTGAAAGAATGAAATATTTATTGGGAAAAAAATTTAATTACTGTCCTTGCATGATTTTTCCTGGCCTCTTCTTCCCCTAAGGCACTGAAAGCCACTGGACTGCAGACATCAGATCCCCGACTCCGGGACTGCATGAGCGAAATGTACCGCATGGTCCAAGAGTCCAGCACTGGTGGTCTCTTGGACCGAGATCTCTTCCAAAAGTGAGGGCACAGTGGCACTTCTCTCAAAATTGCTCAGTGGACACAGACTATGGGGGAGGGGTTCTTGGGGATTATACAGTTCAGCCTTTCATTTGTTGTATTATCCATTATACAAATAATACATGAATACTCATTATAAAAGTTCAAATATAGAAATACATTCTCCTTTCCTCCTCCATCCAGTCCTAGCCCCCTTTACTAGAAATTAGCAATGTTAACAGATTAATGGGTCTCACCTCAATAATGTCCTGTATTTTCATGTACATATCTGACTATATGGAAATATGCCTAGTATTATCTCCCCATGTCATGACAACACCTCATTTTGGAAGCGAAGAAACTTCAAACCTAAAAAGATAAATTGCCTTGCCAAAAGTCAGGCATCTCTTGGTCCCAAACCAGAAGTCCATTCACAGCCTTTTTTATTCCCAACTTCCATGGCTCAAGGGAGTCCCAGCTGCATCTCTCCAGCCCCTAATGTGATCGTGTCTGGGATCCAGGTGTGTGAGCAGCAACATTGTGCTCCTGACCCAGGCATTCCGGAAGAAGTTTGTCATTCCTGATTTTGAGGAGTTCACAGCTCATGTGGATCATATCTTTGAAGATTCCAAAGAGCTCACTGGAGGCAAAGTGAGAGCCAAGGGAATAAGGGAGGGGCAGGGGCACTGGGCCAGATAGATATTGCTTCTCAGAGACTTCCTGGGGCTGGGAATCCAATGGATGAATGAGACATGAGACAAAAAAAACCTCTAAGAATGGGAATATGACTTCATGTGCTTCTATATAGGTGATTCCTAGAGCAGGTAAGGGAACAATTGGAAACAACTGGCATAGTCAACTGAGTCTTCTGGGTAAATAAGCCTAAGAAGGAAAAAGGGAAGTCAACCACATAGTCTTGTCTTTTTTTTTTTTTTTTTCTTCTTTTCCTTTCTTTCTTCCTTTCTTTCTCCTTCTAGCTTTCCATAGGATTTACTAACATCCCAACGGCATTTGGGCTACATAGATTGTCCCCTAGGACTTAAAGCTTGTATATTTCTGGGACCACTAGGCAGAAAGGAGCCTATCTGCCATGCAAGAGATAGAATCATAGCTTTTATCTGAAAGATTTTCTTGACCTGAACCTCAGCATTATTCTTTTCCATATCCACCTCCTTGTTCTCTACCCACTCATGCCAGGTAGCGGCGTACATCCCTCAGCTGGCCAAGTCAAACCCAGACCTGTGGGGTGTCTCCCTGTGCACTGTGGATGGTCAGCGGTGAGATACTGGGCAAGAGGATGGGAAGGCAGGGCACAAAGGGTGGAACAAAGGCCAACCTCTTTCCTGGCCCCTCTCTGCCTCCAGGCACTCTGTGGGCCACACTAAGATCCCCTTCTGCCTGCAGTCCTGTGTGAAGCCTCTCACCTACGCCATCTCCATAAGCACTCTAGGTACTGACTACGTGCACAAGTTTGTGGGCAAGGAGCCCAGTGGCCTGCGCTATAACACACTCTCCCTCAATGAGGAAGGTGAGCAGCCCTGGGACTCAAACCCAACTCACATCTGCAGTCTCTTCCACATATCTACCCCCTTCCTCAGACTTCTGTTTCTTTGCTTTGCCCCTATTCAAGGACTAATCCTGTCTGGCCCTACTTGGCTTCTTGAGATCAGACCATAATAGGGTGTAGAGATTTTGTTTCTCCTAATTAGTCCTGCCATTCCTTTATCCCCCAGCAAAGAAATCCTTCTTGGGAAGGCTGTAACAACACTGTGGCCAGTGGCTGATAAGACTCTTGGTGATTTGTATTTCCCCAGGAATCCCCCATAACCCCATGGTCAATGCTGGTGCCATTGTCGTCAGCTCCCTGATCAAGGTCAGTGCCACCCTATCCTTCTTTTTTTTTTTTTTTTGCGGTACCGGGGATTGAACTCAGGACCTTGTGCTTGCCAGGCAAGCACTTATTCGACTGAGCTATCTTCCCGGCCCCACCCTATCCTTCTAAAAAGTACTGTTCTCTAAGTCCCCTTGTCCCAGTATTCCTCATAGCTATTCAGCTTTCCAGGGAGACAACTGAAGTCTTGATTCTTCTGACGGTTCTCAAGAAGCAGGGGAGATGGGGCCAGGGAGATAGCTCAGTTGAATAATCACTTGCCTGGCAAGCTCAAGGGCCTGAGTTCAATCCCCGGCTCTGCCAAAAAAAAAGAAAAAGCACATAGGCACACAGCAGGGGCCCAAATTTTATATGGAGGATGTTAGTGAGTGAGAACTGACTGCTACCTCCCCTATTCTTATCCCCTACTGTTACCTGCCCCCACCTGTGAGTCTGGAGCTCAAAGCCTCCTCCCCTGTAGTGAAGTGAGCAGATCCTGACCCTTGCCTAGGACTAAGGGCTCAATGCCAGAGGCAGGGGGAGGACAGCACCATTAGGCACTGATTGGCCACTTCTGGGTGAGAGACACATGGAGAGGAGGTGAATGGCCAGACCAGGGCAGTTATTCACGTCACCTGGAGCTGTGAGTTGGCCTTGAACAAAGGTGTCAGATAGGGCTCTTCAGCTGTAGGTCTCCCAGGGCTTGAGCAAGAATCTGGGAACAGCATGGGCAGTAACACTCTGGAGCCAATCACAGCCCCTTGTGGGGAAGGTGGTGTTAGGAACCCTCCTCCAGGGTATCTGGTATCAGAGTCCCTGTGCTGTTGACGCTATAGATGACATGTACAGGAAGCAAGAGTCTGGGGGGAAGGGGGAGGAGGAGGGGAGAGACGAGGTTAAACCTCTCATGTTCTGAGATGGCTGTATCTACAGCCCTGTATCTGGCACCTGGCTCATCCCACACACATCCTCAGTCAACCATATTAGACATGATTCTCAGATAAAATCTCTAGCCTCGATGCTGGGAGTGTAATTCACTGGCAGAGTGTTTGCCTAGTATGGGTGAGGCCTTTGTTCAATCCCAAGCATGACCAAAACACCCTTCAGCTTCACTGAATACTAAAGTCTTCAGCAGACACCCTCATCCCATTTCTGCCACTCCATCCAATCTTGGAGACTATCTGGAGTCAGGAGTGCTAGGGTAAGGCTCTACCAGGAGGTACAAGAAATGTGATGGGAATCAGGACTATGGATGGGACTTGGAACCAGAACTGGAGTCAGGAAAATGAAAGTGGGAATCAGGAAAGAGGATTCAGACAGCAGTGGTAAGGCCGATTGAAGGGGTGAGGGTATCTAGCTTCTCATTCCATAATAAAAGTCAAAGTCAGTTGTTAAGATCAGCAGATACACATGATGCAAGCTCTCAGTTGCTTAAAAAGAAAAACTTCACCAGAGCATGATGATGAATCTCTGTGACCTTAGCTACATCGGGGGGATCTAGGCCAAAAACTCCAGACCAGCCTGGGCAATACAGCAAGACACTGTCTCAGAAAAACATAGACAAAAGCAAGGTCACTGTAAAATGTACCATTTCCAGTAGCTAGTCTAACACTTTTAACTCCACTGGGTCCTTCTGACCCCTCCCTGTCATCCTACTAGGCTTGGAATACTGACATCATTCTCTTCTCTACAGATGGATTGTAACAAAGCAGAGAAGTTTGATTTTGTAAGTTCCTCTGCTACTCACCTCCTGCCTGCATTTCACCATAGCATGCCGTCCTCTCCACCTGTCCTGAATGCCTGGCTCTAAGCCTGCTCCTGGGTGCATCTGCCCATGCCAGAAGCCTTATGTCCACAGGAGTGGGAATCTGCTGGCCTCAGAGATGAAAGCTTCTCGCATGCCTGCTCTCCTGGATGAAGCTGGTTCAGGAGGGCTGGTCATCTGGGATGTGCTTAGTAGGGGTCTTTAGTCTAGCAGCACCTCCTTTCCCCCTCTTCTCTTCCAGGTGTTGCAGTATCTGAACAAAATGGCTGGAAATGAATATATGGGTTTCAGCAATGCCACGTAAGGCCCTGTTCAGAGGGTTGGCTGAATGCACTGTGGTGTCGTGTGTATATGTGAACACAGAATTGAGGCGGGGAGGCATGGGAGAGAGTGAACGCATTTGAATCTTGGGAGGAAGACATTCCAGGGATGCTGGCTATAATTGTACACACCTATAATGCCAGCACTCAGCAGGCTGAGGCAAGTTTGCTGCAAGCTCAAGGCCAGCCTGAACTATGTACCAAGATCCTGTCTCAAAAGGGGGGGGGGGCTCCTTCATTGGCAGTGTTTATTTTGTGAAATAATTTTTAATTAGTAGATATGAAACAAGAGAGGCAGTATGATTGTTTATGCCTAAATTCTTGCCTACCAGTGTTGGTAGACTAGATAGCTCTAGGTTTTGATTTGTATGTTTTTTTTTTTAATTTTATTTACATTTTACCACAAAACTGTGTGGAGTGTTTGCTCAGGTTCAGAAGTTTCCTTTACTGTTACTGTGCAAAGTAAACAAAGGACCAATTGCACTTGACCTGTGTGCAGCCCTGTCTCTGTAGAGATATATCTCCCCTTCTCCCCACATCTACCTCAAATGTCAATCACTAAATTGGGTACTTGCTTCAGATTCCAGTCTGAGAAGGAGACGGGAGATCGGAATTATGCCATTGGCTATTATCTCAAGGAAAAGAAGGTAACTGAAAGAGAACAGCAGAGAAAGTACCTGGGAATTCTGCTGGTGGTAGAAGGGCAACAGGGACTGTGGGCTTGAGCTGAGACCACGACAGTGTGCGAGGGGCTGTTGTGGTCTGAAAGGAATGCTCTCCCTTCTTCCTTGCAGTGCTTTCCTAAAGGGGTGGACATGATGGCTGCTCTTGATCTCTACTTCCAGGTAAGCAATCACTCTCAGGACCAAGAGAACAGGACAGACAAGACTGCCTTCCCGGCTCACACAAGGAACACCAGGGAGTTCACCAGCTTAGATCTGCTGAGAGATCTAAGCGCCAAGAACACTGTTTTACACTGTGCGCTGGGTTCATATCCACACTGCACCTGCACCCCTCCCCTGTCTCCTCAGCTGTGCTCCGTGGAGGTCACCTGTGAATCAGGCAGTGTCATGGCAGCCACCCTTGCCAATGGCGGGATCTGTCCCATCACAGGCGAGAGCGTGCTGAGTGCTGAAGCAGTGCGGAACACCCTCAGCCTCATGCATTCCTGTGGCATGTATGACTTCTCTGGACAGTTTGCTTTCCATGTGAGTGCTTTGGGTTCTGCTCTTCATCTGCCCTGTGCCTAGAGCCAAGAAGAAAGGACCCTGCACACTGAAGATTCAGAGGAGGAGATCAATTTCTGCTAGCCAGGCAACTAAGATAAAAGCCCTTAGGGGAAGCTGTCAAACACCACGTTCCTCCAATCCACAGACAATGTGATGGTGCAGCTTTGAAATGCTTTTGCATAATCCTTAATGCGACTATCTCTGAGTCTCAGATTTCAAGTCTAAGGAAAGGCTTTTCTTTTGGTATGCTAGCCAAGCACTCTACCCAAGCTTACATACACCCCCTAGGAGAGGTTTCTCTGATGCCTTGTCTCAAGTGGGCCCCCTTCTACTTCTATTCACAGCACCCTAGTTTTTTATAATTACCTTTGTCTTCTTATATTTGTGCATTTATTACCTCTCCTACCATCAGCAAGTAACTTAAATGAAATTTGTCCTACTTCTAAGCACAGCAGCCACCACCAAATGCTGTTACTAGCTCAGTAAACATTTCCTAACTATCAGTGAATGGAGTGGGGAAGGGTGCCATTAAGAAGCTAATTAATTGTCCTACCAATTTGGTTTGAAAAAAAAAAAGCTAATTAATAACAAAAAAGTTGAGGTGGGCTGTGGCCTTGCCAGTATGGTCACTTAGAATAGCCTGCTTTATTTTCCTAGATTTGTGGGACTCTCAACTCATCCTCAGCTTCAAATTTGTTCCCCAGGTGGGCCTGCCAGCCAAGTCAGCTGTATCAGGAGCCATCCTCCTGGTAGTACCCAATGTCATGGGAATGATGTGTCTGTCCCCACCATTGGACAAGGTGGGGAACAGCCAGAGGGGGATCAACTTCTGCCAGGTAAGGTGCTCTGCATAAAGTATTTCCTATTTTTTTTTAAAATTTTTTATTTATGTGTGTGTGTGTGTGTGTGTGTGTGTGTGTGTGTGTGTGGTCAGCTCAGCCCACCAGGGGGCGGGGCTGGCTGGCATGTGGTGCTGGGGATTGAACCGCGGTCCCTGTGCTTTGCTAAGCTTGTTCCAAGTAGGTGCTTTAGACCACTGAGCCATCTCTCCAGCTCCTTTCCTATTTTTTAGTTAAGCAGTTTATTTAAGTTTATTGGGGCCGGGGAGATGGCTCAGTAGGATAAGCACTTGACTGGCAAACGCAAGGATCTGAGTTCAATCCCCGGTTCCGCCAAAAAAAAAAAAAAAAAAAAAAAAAAAAAAAGTTTATTTAACAGTTTCTACTTTAAGTAAATAAAGTAATTTTGAGCTCCAAGTTCAAGAAACAATATTTTTGGGTTACAATTCTAGAAGTTGGTGTCTCTTTTTAACTTCCACAACTATGACAACCTACGGCACTGTGCTCGGAAATTAGACCCACGGCGTGAAGGGGGAGAAGTTCGGGTAAGGGATTTTAAAGATATTTCAGAATACAACACTCGACATTTTGGCAATACCTTCGGCTTAGGATCCATGGGGTAAAGTCTGAGAGCAGAGCTGGGAATCAAGTAGATTCAAAGCCACAATCTGAGGTGGGTGTAATTTCTGTTCTAGAACAAGACAGTGGTGAACCTGTTATTTGCTGCCTATAGTGGAGACGTTTCAGCTCTTCGAAGGTAATTCTACTGTGACCAAATGTACAAAATAAGAACTCCTGGACAAAACTCTTACTAGGAGGCAACATAGCAAAACAGTTAATGCTTCATCTGAGGCTTAGCCAGAATGGACACAGACTGCATTTATATATGATTATTTTATTTATTTTTTTGTGGAACTGGGGATTGAACTCAGGCCCTTGCACTTGCTGGCGAAGCACTTATTCCACTGAGCCATCTCCCCAGCCCCTTATATATGATTGGTTTTTTTTATTTTTTGGTGGAACCAGGGATTGAACTCAGGCCCTTGCACTTGCCAGGCAAGCGCTTATTCCACTGAACCATCTCCCCGGCCCCTTATATGATTGTTTTTAAAAATTGCCTACCATATAAGAACTTAATGGCAGTCACTTTTACTAACTTCAATTCCTAAGGACCGCAGAGACTCTGCCTCAAGAGATTACCAACATCAACAAAATGTCACTGGTCGAGGTGGTACACACCTATCATACCAGCACTTGGGGGCCGGGGTGATGGCTTGGTGGAATAAGCACTTCCCTGACAAGTGCAAGGGCCTGAGTTCAATTCCCAGTTCCGCAAAACAAAACAAAACAAAACAAAAACCCGGGGGCTGGTGAGATGGCTCAGTGGTCTAAAGCACCTACGTAGAACAAGCTTAGCAAAGCACAGGGACCATGGTTCAATCCCCCAGCACCACATGCCAGCCAGCCCCGCCCCCTGGTGGGCTGAGCTGGCCACACACACACACACAATAAATAAATGTAATAAATAAAAAATAAAAAATAAAAAAAAAAACCAACACTCAAGAGGCTGAGGTAGAACCACCAGGAGTTTGAGGCCAGCCTGGGCTATATCATAATATCCGGTCTCAAAAACGAACAAAAAATTGTGCCAGATAGTAATGTCTTTGGAGGCATCACATTCTCATCTCTCTGTCATGAGAATAAGTCTTAACTTGATAAAGAACACAAACTAGACAAGGCTTACAGTTCTTGCCATAGACTATTTTGCTTTTTCTGACCCTACTTCAGAAAGGACACTAGTGATTATAAACTGATGTAAGTAACCCTACCACTTTCCGCTACCCTCAGGTTTGCCTTGTCAGCTATGAATATGGAACAGAAAGACTATGACTCCCGCACAGCTCTGCATGTTGCTGCAGCTGAAGGTACCTGAAGGTTCCAAGTGGGGAAGCAAAGCAGATGGCTTTTGTCTACCTTTGAGAGTACCCTCATGTTCTCAAAGTTAAAAGGCAACTAGTTTTGTCCAGATGTCCTGAAGCGCTGGCAGCTAGATTATTTATTATTGGGTGCTGGCAGGGAGCAAAACGGGAAGATGGTTCTTTTCCCTTCTTGGTACACTCCAGCTGCCAAGGGTCTGAACAAAGGGCTCTGAACCTATACCCACTTATTTTCCTTCAGGCCACATTGAAGTTGTTAAATTTCTGATCGAGGCTTGCAAAGTGAACCCTTTTGTGAAGGACAGGTGAGTAGGACTCATCTAAGAGGGCAAAGTGGCACAGCTTCTCCACACTGCCCCGCATCACCACACACATGTACACAGCCGTGGTACTCTCCACAGCTTCTTCGCCTGATAATGATCGTTGTCCTTCATAGGTGGGGCAACATTCCCCTGGATGATGCTGTGCAATTCAACCACCTGGAGGTAGTCAAACTGCTTCAAGATTACCAGGACTCCTACATACTCTCTGAATCTCAGGCTGAGGAAGCGGCTGAGGCCCTGTCCAAAGAGAACCTAGAAAGCATGGTGTGAGCACAGGTCGAGGACAAGAAAAAGCATGAGCTGGCCATATACTTAGCTCATAAACATCAAAATACTATGTAAGGCTGCTTCAGTGAGGACCAAGAAAGTCATTTGGTGACATAGGACAGTCATTTTTGTGTCAGATACCCTAATCCTTCAGCAGACAGAAAACAGGACCTGAAGGACACCTGCAATAGAGCTATCTATAGAGACTTCAAGGTATGGCCTAATGGGCTGGCCCACTCAAAACTGCCCCAGGTCTTCACCCTCTCTTCCTCTTGCTGAAGAAACCACCAGACCAGAGAGATATTTCAGTGAAGGAACTCTACTATGAACACATGTATAACACAAAATAAGAGAAACAGGGGCCTGTGCACTTGGCTTTAGTAGTCTAGAGAGATCTGTCCCTTTGGCCAGGACATGCTGCTGCTATTGCTAAAAAAATTTTACAGACAGATAAAAGTATTTTGCGCTCAAATAAAATTTAATTACACAAATTACTATTTTTGCTAAATTCATCTTTCTCCCCTAGGGGTATTCAGCTTCATCACCATCATAGAAGGTAGAATAACACAGAACTATAGTGTCAGCCCAAATAATACAGATTTCACGCATATTCCCTTACCCCACCAGGTTTACCTCAACCCTAAAAAATGGTTCAGGTTAAGTGTATTCTGTTGTCAAAGGGAAAAGGGGTTTGGATCTTTAACAGGTCAAAAAATGGATATTGCAAAACCTCAGGCCTTCCTCCTTCCTCTTAAGTTGCAACTATGGCAGAAATTCAGATGAAACTTCTTAGTAAAGTGGCTGGCACTAAGCCCCTAGATATCAGCCTATTGTCTCTTTGTAACTGGCACAATGATTCCCTTTGTAACTGGCACAGTGATTATGACAGACTGGCTAGGTGTCTGTGTGAGGATTGCTGCAGTCATGGGGGCTGAGGGTCTATGCATGGAGGTACTAGGGAAGGAGGACTCTGTTCTCACTCAGACCTACTGAGTCAATAAAGCACTGAGGGAACCAGAGTCCACGCTCTGGAGGTGCTGTAGAGAAAGGTCCCAGTCACTGACTGCACAACTCTTACAGCCAGAGGTAGAAATGATTCACTCAGGTAGAGCTTCCAAAAAGTTACATGTGAATATGAGAGGTAATACAGTGATGAATATGTAGTTCAAACAGCTGAAAGACAAGATTCCAGAGCCAGGTATAGTAGCACATGCCTGTAATCCCAGAACTCGGGAGGCTGAGGCAGGAAGGCCAGGATGTTCCTACCACACAGTTCAATGCCAGCCTGAGCTACATACTGAGACCCTGTCTCAAAAAAAAAAGATTCCAGGACTGAAGCTCTCAGAAAGGCCTGGGGATGGGCAGGTGACACAGACTGAAGAAAGTAAGCCAGGGAACATATATCCATGGTTGGTCAGGAAACTAACAGTAGTTTGAGAGGAAAGCTCAGCTGTATGCCTAGCTTTCACAAAGTAGACCATGACTTAAGATAATGCACAGGACCTGAGCTGAGCTGTGGGAGCTAGAGTTTGCATGGGCAATATAAGATAGTTTCAGACACATAATTTGGTAATGCACCCACTAGAGACCCTCAGGCACCTCAAGCCCTGAATGAGTCAGGAGCTCCCCATCCCAAAGAGCAAAAGCAGGCACCACTGGTCCCCGGAAATCTGTCTGTAGCGTGTAGACCACAGAGACCTGGCTCACATCCACCAGGCTCAGCTTCTGGGCCTCATATTCCAGCAGCAGCCCCACCTTCTCAGGCTGCCCAATCCCCTCGACTGGGGCTTTCTCGTTGGCCAACATGGTATGCCACTTGCGCTGAGCACAGGAGAACACCCATGATCGATCGTCAACACCGATGCAGCTATCCCGGGACATGTCCACATCTGCCACTCCTATTCGGAACTGCTGGGAACGCTTCACTGTCACTTCCCAGTAATGTCTGCCACTGGTGACCGCTGTGTCTGCCAGCACCACGGCCCACTCCCGGAACCGCTCCACATTCAGAGCTAATTTGGTGGGCTCCAATCCCACCAAGCCATATTTGACACCTGTGTCACCTCTGAAGAGTGCCAGACTGCTGTGGGCCGTTTTTTCCTCCAGTTTGAAACTGATGCCTGCGGGCAGAGCAAAAAAACTAGATAATGACAGGGGCAGGACTCTAGGGCTGGCGATAGGTTTTCATCTGAAGCACGGAACCAGAAGATCACGAGGAATGCCAGGCAGGCAAGAAAGGGGAGGATGTCGTTTTAGTATGGGAAGCTCAAAGAGCCGAAAACCTTGGGTTGGGAAGCCAAAAATCTCGGATTGGGAAACCCTGTACTTAAAAAAAAAAAAAAGGTTTGGAATCTCGTCAGACGAAAAGAGAAATGAGGGGGTTGGAATTCTCTGGGCGGGCTCCGTGAACAAAAGACAGACTATTTTAGAGGCAGAAGAGAGTAAAAGCTGATAACCCTACCTCTCCGGGATTCCCCCGCGGCAACCCCCCATCGCTTCGCTGCCCAGGGGCACAAGCGCCAAGAACGTGCAAAGGGCAGCGCCATCTTGCGCCACGGATGCACGGGACACGCCCCCGCGCCGAAGGCTCAGCGAATGACCAGCGGCGCTCGGTGCGCGTGATGCGTGGGGGGGGCTCGAGCGGCGAGATGACGTAAGACGCTATCGTCGTAAAGGGGAGCACGCAGCTCTTTGATTTCTGACTTTCAGGCGCGGTTCGTTGGCATTTTCTGGGAAAGGAATCCCAGGCACCCTTGAAGCAAACAGGACCAGTCGAGATAAGGTGTAGCCCGATGTTTACAACCATGTATTCTACAATTAAGCAATAATTAAATGAGCCCGGTGTCCGCGTACAGCTTTGGGCAAATAGCTTAAGTTTTGTGAGCCTTCGTATTCTCACTTGTGAAATAAATAATGCAATCTGTGTATCTACCTACAAAGAAGTCCAGGGTTCGATCCCTCATAGCAAAATAATGTAATAATAAGTGAGAAGTATAGCTTGGTAAATAGCAATCGCTGAGTAAGTGGCAGTTTATAATAAGTACTAAGTGAATAATGTTCATGTTGGTTTTGTATTTTCAGGGCTCAAAGAGGATAGTGAATGGAAAATGTCAAGGTGTTTTTGTTTTGTTTTTTGAGACAATATTTCTTTTATTTATTTTTTTTTAATTTTATTTATTTGTGTGGGGGGGCAGCTCAGCCCACCAGGGGCGCCGGGGGCGCCCCTGGCTGGCATGTGGTACTGGGGGATTGAACCGTGGTCCCTTTGCTTTGCTAAGTTTGTTCTAAGTAGGTGCTTTAGACCAATGAGCCATCTCACCAGCCCCGAGACAATATTTCAATGTAATTTGTAGGAGACACTTCCAGATCCTTGTCTCTGTCCAAGAAGCCAATATTTGTAATCTTCTTTTTTTTTTTTTTTTTGCGGAACCGGGGATTGAACTCAGATCCTTGCGTTTGCCAGTCAAGCGCTTATCCTAAGCCATCTCCCTGGCCCCCAATATTTGTAATCTCAAAGTTAAATTATTAGAATCCCATCAAGTTGATTCCAGTCTACAACTTTCAATGCAACCCACGGCAAAAATAAAAACACTAAGTTATATTTTCAATCATCGGGGAGTCCGGAAGCAAGAGAGTGACCCAGGGCCTCACTCGGTTTTATTCAGTGGAGGAGTGGCTTGAGGAGGACTGCCTAAGAATTGTGGGAAGTAGGTGACTACTATGAGCTGAGCTAGGTGGGTGGCCTAAATTTACCTCTGCGATATGCAGAGAGGATGTACAGGGAGAGTAATCTGCATTATATAGTATTTAATGTTTTGGTAAGTCTGGGGCTTCAGCTTTGATGTAGTCTTTTAAGCCCCAGGAAGTCGTAGCCTCTGTCTGAGGCTCATCCTAGCTGGCAGCGTGGGCATTAGCTCTACCGTCCTGTCTCCACCCAGCTCACATTGAAGAGCAGCAGGTGTACCAGGGAAACACGCACGCCACCTTCAAAGACTATCACCAGCACCTCAGCTAGACCAATATACATTGCTTAAGGCCATTTGAAGGATAAACAGAAGTCCTAACCAGCTCTGTACAGAACAATATGAGGAAATAGGGTCAGGCTCAGTCAAAATGGAGACAGTCTCTCTTCTTTCAAGAAGAGCTGCTCAGGTGGTCCTCCACAACAATTCAGTCTGGCCTTGAATTCATTGTGTGGCCTAGGCTCGCAGCAATCCTGTCACAGCCTCCCAAGTGCTGGCCTAGGCCAGTAGTACTATGTTTGGTTCATGGTTGGACAGATATTAAGTAATTATGTAAACACTCTACATTTACCATTTTGATCTGCTTAAAGCCCTCTGTCTCTTGCTTTCTAAATGTTTCAATCTGTCTAACTTGTCAGGGTTATGGTGAGCTCAATATCAACATCCCAACAAAGAGACTAAAAATTGAACCAAAAATTTGTCTGCTGTCCAATAGTATTCCAGTGGCCTTGGCCCTGGTTCAGATCACTGTCATCTGTGGCTTCACTTAGGGTTTGTCATTAAAACAAAAAAAGTTTTAATGTGTAGCACAGTAGTTTCATCTATCCGGTTTGTCCAAGGTCAGAGTGAAATTTCCAGACACAAATCAGATCCGGCCACCCCCCTACTTAAGTCTTTTAATGTACCTGCATCAGATATCCTTGCCTACTCATAAGGCTTGTGTGAGGATTGCTCTTCTTTGTTCTTTTCTTTCTTTTTTTCTTTTTGTCTTTTTGAGACAAGGTATCACTATGCAGTTTAGGCTGGACTTGAACTCACATTGTAGCCCAGGTTGGCCTCAAACTCACAGTAATCTTCCTGCCTCAGCCTCCTGAGTGCTGGGAATACAGACGTGTGCCACCACACTTGACTCTGTTCACTGTATTTTATTTTTTAAATATTTATTTATTTATTTATTTATTTATTTATTTATTTATTTTGTGTGTGTGGCCAGCTCAGCCCACCAGGGTGCGGGCTGGCTGGCATGTGGTGCTAGGGGACTGAACCGCAGTCTCTGTGCTTTGCTTAGCTTAGCTTGTTCTAAGTAGGTGCTTTAGACCACTGAGCCATCTCACCAGCCCCAACTCTGTTCACTTTAATAAAACCCAGATCTTTTTTTCAAAGGACAAAAGTGTAACTGGAGGAGGGATGAGAACAGTGGGTGGTCAAAATTTGATGTAGTAAATGCCACAATTGAAGTGAATTGAAGATGGTGAGGAATTAAAAGGGAAGCTCCTTAGAATATAGGAGTGGACCAGCGAGATAGCTCAGCAGACTAAGCACCTGCTTTGACAAGTGTGGGGACCAGGGTTTGATCCTCCCTGTTCCTGGTCCCACAGGCCACACCAGCCCCACTTCCAAGGCGCACTGAGCCCACAACAGAGTCCAGGCATGATGGCACACGCCTATAATTCCAGTGCTGAAAGCAGGAGAATAACTATGAGTCTGAGGCATGTAGTGAGACCTGTACCAAATGCATAAATGAAAAAAGAATATGGGAGAGTATCAGGGAGATACTTCCTGAATACATAGCTTTTACCCAAAGCTACTGCAGCTGGGTCCTTAGGACCCGATGCTTTTCTTTCTTTCTTTCTTTCTTTTTTTTTTTTTTTTTTTTTTTTTCCAGTTTTGAGTTTTGAGATAGGATCTCACTATGTAGTCTGTGCTGGCCTTGAACTTACTATGTAGCCCAAGCTGGCTTGGAATTTGTGACAATCCTGTCTCACCCTCCTGAGTGCTGGGAATGCAGGCATGCACCACCCTGTCAGGCTTTTTCTTAATGGGTCAGCATTGCTCCCTCAATGTTTCTTTTTCTTTCTTTCTTTCTTTCTTTCTTTCTTTTTTTTTTTTTTTTTTTTTTTGGAACCGGGGATTGAACTCAGGCCCTTGCGCTTGCCAGGGAAGCGCTTATTCCACTGAGCCATCTCCCTGGCTCGTGCTCAGTGTTTCTGCTCCCACCACAAGGAGTCCAGTCCTTAATCTAGTGATTCATCCTCATTGTCTGTACTTCTATAAGGAAGAATATATCAGATCCTGAAGACCTATCAGTAGTAAATACAGTACCACTTTTTTTTTCCACCTGTGTCAAAGCACTAACTCCACAAAAACAAATAAAAAAGCACTAACTCCAGTTTTTATAAGGTTTTTTCTGTTCTGAGTCTGGCCATGAAGATACTTATTTAATGTGGGTAACAGATGGAAGAGGAAGACCTGTTTTTGTTTTATTTTGTTTTGTGGTACCAGGGATTGAACTCTGGACCCTGCACTTGCCAGGCAAGCACTTATTCTACTGAGCTATCTCCCTAGCCTGGAAGACCCGTTTTTCATGCTACTGGTACTATGAATCTGGCTTGAGTTTCTTCATTTTTAGTACGTTGCTGTAGATTTTTTTTTCCCCTTAGATTTGATGTTAAAACTAGAAGAAAGAGAGATTAGCTATCTCCAATTTATTTGATGAATTTGTTAGCTGGTCAGTGTTACTCTACTGGATTTCACCTATCCATAGATGAGATGCTAGTACCATTTTGAGGAATATGCAGTTTTAGAATGTTTATGCTTAACAATCCAGCTAAAGATGGCATAAAGGTGCAGACTTTAGCTCATGCTAAGACTCATTATGTGCTAACTGCAGAAATATATGCTAGTGCTGAAGTAAAGATAGCTAATCTGACTAAACCCACCCTATGAAATCCTATAAGAGTTGTTAGGCTTGTGGAATATGCACTAAAGGAATTTTTTTTTTTTCAGAACCGGAAATTGAACTCAGGCCCTCGTGTTTGCCAAGGAAGCGCTTATTCTACTGAGCCATCTCCCCGGCCCCCACTAAAGGAAATATTATGGTGGCAATTAGTATAGCTCTGTAGAACTTCTTGGGCTGGGGAGATAGTTCAGTAGAATAAGTGCTTTCCTGGCGAGCACAAGGGCCTGAGTTCAATTCCTGGTTCCACCAAAAAAGAAAAAAAAGAACTTCTTGATGAATTTAAAAAGAAAAACTTGACTTATGTGAGCATTGAAAACTATACCACCTGAATTTTTACCAAATATAAAACAAACTTGTTTAGTCATCGCACATTAGCTTCATGTATACTAAAAAAAAAAAAAAGGTAAAAGTGCCATATTAATATAAAGTGTGGGGAGCCTGTGACTTAGTTCAGTTGTTTAAGCGTATGCTCAGACAAACCTAGTCAGGCACAAGGGACCACAGTTCGATCCCCAGCACCACATGCCTTACCATACTGGCTCTTAAGGCAGCATAGGTCAGGAAAAAAAAAAAAACATCTATCTATCTATCGATGGATCAATTGATCGATCGATCGGGGCTGGTGAGATGGCTCACTGGTCTAAGAACAAGCTTAGCAAAGCACAGGGACCGCGGTTCAATCCCCCAGCACCACATGCCAGCCAGCCCTGCCCTCTGGTGGGCTGAGCTGGCCGCGCGTGCACACACACACACACACACACACACACACACACACATAAATAAATAAATAAAATAGATAAAGTATGGGAACTGGGCATGGTGGTGCTTGCCTGTAATCCCAGCACTTTGGAAGGTTGAGTCAGGAGGATCTCTGTGAGTTCAAGACCAGGCTG